GTCAAAACATCCTGACTGCACACCAACAATGAGCATTAAATCCAAAACCTCTACCAGGTACCTAGGGATAATTAAATTCTGATTCAGGAAAATATTTCACATCATACAAATAAAAACCTTAACTATATTGAAACTGAAAATGTGATGCCGATCCAGTGACCTAAGGGTCTCAAAGTATAATAATGAATTAATCTATTATAAATTTGGTGGTGACTGCCGACTGGCGTCTGGCAGCCTAGACCTTGAGGCTTGAAAGTGGCCTTCCTTTTCCGTTGACTCCGATCCTCCAGATGGAAATGATATAAAGGATCATTTTTATCTTATTTCAAATGAGCCAGTCAGCAAAGTGGCTATCCTGTTTCAGCATTCACACACACAATAGTTGACTGTCAGTCTGTCATGCTGTCAGTGTTGTGAAGTAACGAAGGAGTTGAATTTGTTGATTATAAATTGTGATGTTATGTAAAGGACTGGAAAATGAATGTGAAAACTATGGAAACATATTGGCAGAATATTGTCACTTACTATCAGGACATATGGATAGAGAATACATTCAAATTAATAAGAAATGCCAAATATCAAGGTACTCAATCACTGATAGCAGTGGACTATCATATGTTTTAATGTCAATTATATGAAGGTTAAGACTGAAACTACCTTTTACCTCATCATACCTAATGAAAAATTGTGTGAAGAAAACATTCACAGCCTCTTTGAAGCACTTAGACCACTAAAAAACAAAAATTTTCACGTAAATATGTTGTGTCTCTTTCCCTCAAAACATCATATTGGATGGCGCCACTTTCGTCGACAGTTACTTATCTGCACGCAAATCGAGGAAAACGTGAATTGATTGACGTTTACGTGTTTCCAAATTTAAAATCACAGCATATTCAAACTTTTCAGTGTACCTTTTAACATCTAAGTATAACTAAAACGATAAAAACTTACCTTCAACACAAGGACGACGACAACCACGCGACCGGAGACGTCGCGACGAAATAAACAAACGGCGCCGCCAAATGAAAAATATTCTCCGATATGGGTAATGTGAAATTGAGTCGCAATCATTTTGGGTAGTATGAAAAATGCTCTTTCCAACAGAACCCTAGTAAAAAACGTGAATGGACAAAAAATAACTTTTATTTCGACATAAATATTGGCCTGTTTTTAAGGCATCCTGGTATGCCGTAAGATTTCGACCTAGAAATTGGTGTTCCCCCAATCATTGAAGCTTGAGCAGTGAAAAATATGAAAGCCTAATCTGTTTTGCATCATTAGTGATTCTCCTAGGGTGTTGCCATTTCACCCTAGGTGTTGCGAGTTGCTTTTGCAAAACGTGTTCCTGAAACGGCTCAATTTTTTGAGCCCTCAGCATTACGCCTATGGGAGCCTCTGACGTCACACGCTCAATATTTTGAGCGCTCAATAATTTGAGCTTTTCCCCCTTGTGCGTGGGACTGACATCGTCGCAGAAAAGTGCATTCAATTGCTCTTTTAGCGGTCTTTCTGAAATAAGCCTTCAGATTTGGCTTAACCCTCGCCCCTAGCCCGGCAGGCGGTGGGCCTATCAGCCACCTTCCGCGCGGTGGGGGGGGGGGGGGGCATTTTTTTGCCCCCCCCCGTATCTCCGAAACTACTGGACGGATCCGGAAAATTCAAACGGCGTTCGATAGCCCTGCCAAATTTGTCGAGGGAAACCAAATTTTATTGACCTCGGGGTCACCGATGACGTCACAGGTCAGGTCAAAGATAAAATGTTTCACCGTTCACGGGGCTTCTAGGGAAAGCGTTATAACACCGAGTAAAACGCATTTTGTCGAAAATCAGCGATAAGGCGTCAGTTGTCTAGTACATATGTTGCTATTAGAGGTCACTGGTCATACCAGGTCAGGTCACAGGTCTAAGGTCAGGTCACCAAAGGTCACCAAGGGTCACCACATGAGCCCAACTTTACTAAGGTTATGCGATGCATGTTTTATGGCCAGTTTTTCATTTCCAACTCAATGGTGTTGCTTATAAGACCATCAGGTACGGTTTAGGTCACTTTCTGGTGGAGGTCAGGTCAAGGTCAGGTCAAAAAAGGTCAAATTTCAAAGTTGATATTTTTGCAAAAAAGGGTATCGATTCGATGCAGCTCGTCACGGGGAGTCTAATGGTGGTCTTTGTTTTGCGCTACGAGGTCTAGAATTGCTAAAAATTGAGTTTGAAAATTTGAAGTCATCAATTTTGAACAGTTTTTTTCGCTATAACTTGGCCAAAAAAAGAGGTATCGATCTCAAATTTGGTATGTAGATAGAAGGCGGTAGGGACTATCACATATATTCCGGTTTTGTCGAAATTCAAAAAACTTTTTGGATTTTTTGGCTATTATATTCAAAAAATCTATTTTTTGATTTTTGGGGCTCAAAATCCAAAAAATTCGAAAAAAACCTATAGCAGTTTTGTAGCTCTTCTGATTCCACACCTTTTATGTCTGAAACATTTTTCTGTATCTCTAAAGCTGTAGGCCTGACAGCTCTTCCCGCGAAACCTTTTTTTGGGTCGAAAATGGCAAAAATGACGTCACTCTGACGTCATTAGCGGCCAACCTATCATAGCCTTTGGAAAAATTTTTGGTCACCATGTGCGCTAGCTGCTCCCGGGAGGGTACCGAAAGTTTGGTGACGATCGGCGCAGCGGTTCTCGAGATATATTGAAAAAAACTAAGGGGGGCAAAAAAATGCCCCCCCCCCCCACCGCCTGGTAGGCTAGTGGTGTTTTTCCAGCCAAAAACGTATAGAAGGGGTCCGTTGGACCCCTGCCATTTCGCCCCTGTTCGAGCTGGAGCTTCGCGGAGAAGACGAGCGTGTTGCCTGTGACAAGAGGAAGCTGAAGATACCCAATTGTAAGGTCCTAGGTCATTGGTTGATCTTCCAGGTCAGGTCAATGACCCAAAAGTCGGGAAAATCGGGACCTGTTAGAACGTCGTGAAGGGTGGCTGCTATGGATTTTTTGGGTGCTGATCACGAATATAATGTTATTTATGGTCATAGATGATGTCTTCATACATTTACGCCAGGTCGGGTCAGGTCAGGTCAGGTCAACCAGTAAGCGTTTTGCCGGGTATTTGTAGTAGGTGGCAACCGCCTCTGACAGCTTCGTAACATGTTACGAAGGCACCAAAGCTACATAGTAACTGTTCAAATGGTTTCTAGATTCAAATTCAGCTCCAAAAACTAGCCTGGAAACATGTAAAACTCGAAAAAGCGAAGTAGGTCATCAAAGGTCAATGACGTTACCTGACCTTCCGGTGACCTTGACACCCACCCCAATGCATGGGAGCAACATAATATCCCATGTTTGAACGCTTTAACCCGCGCCCGGCTGGGGGTCCTGGATTTCCACGCTCTGCTGGGGGGTGTTTGAACACCCCCCTTCTAACTCGGCTCCTGGGCCACGTAGCGATACGCGGAAGGCGGCGTTCGAAAGAGCGTCAAAAATAATGAGGAAATTACTTAGGTCATTTTTTTGGTCAGGTCAAAGGTCAGGTCACCAGAGGTCATTGAAGGCAAAATTTCGCCGATTTCCAGGTCGAATGTCGACAATTTCCAAGAAGCCAACGCATAACTCGGGAACCAATAGAGCTACAGCGCCGCGGAAAAGCGCATTCGATAGCCCTATTAACGCCCTTTCTGAGTAATTTTCTCAGATTTGACCTAACGTCAACGGTTTTGCCTGCAGGGGGCAACAACTGCAAAAATAGCCGATTTTTTTCGGAAACAGTTTTTCTGCAATAACTTTTGACCCAAGCCTTGTACGAGCTTACTTTTACCGGCATCGTGTTCCTCTCATCAAGACGCATCGAATGAACTATAATTTGACCTTGAAAGGTCAACTTGAAAATTTGACATCAGGTCAAGGTCATGACCTGACCGGAAAGGGTCATGTTGCATATCAGTCGATCCGTGTCGTCGATCTGAACACATCTAAGGCGTTTTCATCGCTCTAGCATGCCTCTATCAAAAGTTATTTGCGAAAAACTGTTAGATACCATTCGTGACCTAAGATGACCTCAGGGCATAAACAGGGGTCACGGACACCATTTTCATGTTCAGTGTGTCTAAACCACTTGTAATTCAGTGTTTGGGAGTGTTTAATGTCTTTCGTCCAAAAGAGGCGCATTTCAATTTTCTCCCATTGACTTATAATGGGGAGGTCGCAAAATTGACCTGACCTTAGGTCATCGATATCAAAATTCTGAGATATACATGTTGTACATGCTATTGCTCTTAGCAATCGCTGAAAGTTTCAAAGCGATCAGTCACTCGGTGTAGCTATGACAGACATTGAAACTTTTTATGAGGTGAGGTCACTTCAAGTGACCTGGTGACCTGACCTTGAATGACCTTGGTCTGAAATTTTCACAACATGTGTAGAATTGATGTATGATAAGGTGTACCAAAAACGGCGTTTTTGAGATATTCGCGAAAAACCACAAGGGGGGGGGGTGTTCAAACACCCCCCCCCCCCCCCCCCAGCAGGGCGCGGGTTAAACCACGAGAAGACTGCAAACTCGCGGCTAATGCGAGCCGACATACGCTGAATCGCGATTCCGGCCAAACATGGTCTCGAAAGAAGGTCACAGGTCAAAGATCATTAAGGTCAGGGTCATTGAATTTTCAGGTTAGCTGTGAAATTAATTATCGCGAGGGTACTGAAAGTTTCGTTGCGATTGGCCGCTTTTTACGCGAATTACTCGCGAAAAACCGAGGGTTCCGTTCGAAGATTCAGGCCCTGTCGCGCTAGAATGGCATGTGGCATATCCGCCCACTGTGTACCGGCCCGGCGCGGGTTAAAGCATACACAGCGCCTCGAGTTAAGCTCTTGATTTGTAGTCAATTCGGAAGAACCACACGTGGTTCTTCGAATGTCGGCGAACCGAACGGCCCGTTTGCTGGGATTATTTTTTTCTGCAATAACCACACTTATATACCCGGGCGCAGAGCAGTAGCACTCACCTCGAGAATCTCGTCGCCGGTGCGGATTCGCCCGTCCTTGAAGGCGTTCCCCTGAGGATTGAGGCCGCAAACGAAGACGGACATGCGTGTGCGGTCCTTGTTGCCGGCTAGCGAGAGGCCCAGGCCGTGGCTACCCTTCTCCAACTCGATCCATAGCACCTCACCAGGCAGCGCGCCATATTTCTTCTGCACCTTCTCTGTTGGTATACAAGGAAAAATGCACTCAGGGTGGGTGGGCCTTAAAAAAAAAACAATAAATTTCTCTAAGTAAAATTGTTGTTTATTTTGTTGATAAAAACATACATAATGAATCTTGAACATACTGCTTGTGATGACGATTACTCAGTGGTAATATTGTTCGATGGGATAGCATAACGACTTGCTGCGATTAGACATAGAAAGATAGATAGATAGATATTTATTTCGCACGAGATCCGACATTTCGGCTTTTCACGTGTACACGTCTGTTTTTAAAGCTCAATAAAAAGAGTATAAAAGGGGATACAAGCCACTCTCACGCCTTCAAAACAGAGCACCATACAACATTCACACGCCTAACCGGATTCAGCCCTAATGTTCCGATACAGCGCCGTCCTGAAAGACTCGCGAACAAGTCTGTTTTAGCACAGGTCGTTACACAGTTTTACTCCGCTGTACGCGAGCTGGCGCCTGCCAGTCTCCGTTGTAATGTCATGGGATCGCAGCTGGTTGTTGTGTCGTGTTTGATGTTCATGTCTGTGGTCTGTGGCAGCGATAATGGAGTACAATGTTTCTGGCAACTCCGATGACACAACTCTGCGAACCATCTGTGCCCGGTGGTATTCGCCAGCGGAGATGACGACAGCCAGTTGAGACTCTTGAGTACTTCAGAAATGTGATCAATCCTTTTCTTTCCACTGATGACTCTGGCGCCGAAATTTATGTTTTTTTTTGAATTCTTTGGTGTTCCGTCTTACTGCACGTGCCGTAAATTGACACACAATACCCAATGATGGCCATGACCAGCGCAGTGACTATTGGCTTCAATGATGCCCTAGGCAGAGAATGTCTCGCACGAGTCAGCGCCAGCCGCCACTAGACTGCCGCTGCACTTTGCCACCACGTGGTCGACGTGGTCTACAAAGGTCGTGTGCCTGCCCATATAATGCCCTGTTTTACTACTCTCGATTCCTGGATCGCTGTTCCACAAAAATTGACTTAAATGCTTGGCTGGTTTTTAGCATTGCCTTGGTTCCGAAGACGATCATGTGCGTTTTGCCTGCATTCTGTGGCGTTTTATCATTTCACGAGTCCCTCTCTCCCCTCCTCTGCACTGTCCGCCGCCCGCCGCCCACTGTCCGCCGCCCGTCGCCCACTGTCCGCCGCCCACTGTCCGCCGCCCGCCGCCGCCCGCCGCCCACTGTCCGCCGCCCGCCGCCCACTGTCCGCCGCCCGCCGCCCACTGTCCGCCGCCCGCCGCCCACTGCCCACTGTCCGCCGCCCACTGTCCGCCGCCCGCCGCCCGCCGCCCGCCGCCCGTCGCCCACTGTCCGCCGCCCACTGTCCGCCGCCCGCCGCCCGCCGCCCGCCGCCCACTGTCCGCCGCCCGCCGCCCACTGTCCGCCGCCCGCCGCCCATTTCCGCCGCCCGCCGCCCACTGCCCACTGTCCGCCGCCCGCCGCCCACTGTCCGCCGCCCGCCGCCCACTGTCCGCCGCCCGTCGCCCACTGTCCGCCGCCCACTGTCCGCCGCCCGCCGCCCATTTCCGCCGCCCGCCGCCCACTGCCCACTGTCCGCCGCCCGCCGCCCACTGTCCGCCGCCCGCCGCCCACTGTCCGCCGCCCGCCGCCCACTGTCCGCCGCCCGCCGCCCACTGTCCGCCGCCCGCCGCCGCCCGCCGCCCGCGAGTGGGTCAGTTGGCGGCGGCCGGTCGTAGAGTGAGGGCGCCGTGTGTGGGGCGCAGAGATGCCGCAGTGCAGAGGAGGGGAAGATAGTGACTCTGCACGATGCCGGAAATGATGCCTTTGTGATCTAAATTAAACACCTGCACTGCAGTGCATATCCTCCCTTGCCCCATTCCTATTATATCATAATCCTTCAATAATCCGTAATGACCATTCAACGCAAGCAAGCAAACAAAACAACCCGTTTAGCGGCGACATCATCTCGGATAAAAAAGCGACAGTGATGATTAGAATTGACTTAGCGCGAGGGCAAATCGTGGGGTATATTTATATGTATCATATGCCGAGTATTTTATTCCCATCTAGCAAATTAAGATTGGGGATCTTGTCCAACAAGTTAGCGGCCGTTCTAGACACAGATAAATGCTTTGTTTTCGGTCGCATCATTATCTGCAATAATTCGAAGCGAGGTTTAACCCTCGCCGGCCGAGAAGAGGGGATGGATGCTGCCACCATGTATTTTTTGCGGTAGCTCAAAGCACACTGATGATAGAAGGCTGACATTTCATATGCCTTACATTTGATTCAAGCCGGATCATTTGAAATCAACCACGTTTTCATGTCAGGTCACTTAACTATGACGTCTTCAGTAAACCTCTGCAGACTGCACGGTTGTCGGTTATAAAATGATGCAAATCCGTAACGCACTTAGTGTCATATAAGCATAATGGGAAAATATGGAAACTGTTAATTTGGCGTCGGAAATGACCTAAAAACTATACCTCAAGCACATGAAATCGTGACTTCATACATTCTTGGCAAGGTTTAATGCTTCACTTTTGCATTGTTCACCTTGCGTGACGGAGTGCTCGTCAATAGGAGTGTTTCGTCAATAACTCCCGATCAGAATGAGCTAGCCAGTCGGGACAGCCATCAGTGGACTCTGCAAGACTTGCCGAATCAAATGTAATGCAACATGTCCTCCTTTCAACAGCTTCGTGACCTGTGTTGCCCTAACATGACATTGACCTAAACATCCTAAATTGCTTCACCTAAGCAAAAAAGCATATAAATCGACGCGTCTGAGAACAGAAAACACGATTGTATCGAAATGACGATAATGCGACCATTTTTTGGCGAAGTTATTCACCAAAAACCGATCCAATGCCTTGGGGCCCTTGACCTGCCCTAAGAGGTCACTGATATCTTAAAATGGGGTAACAGTCGCTGCGTCACGTAACGACGCAAGCGCTCGTTTTTTTCCGCGAGGCTCTAGCAGTTAGCTCAATTATAGGAGCTAAACATGGGGTTGGGGAATCGCTCCCTTCTCACTCGCTATTTTGCCGGGATAGTGTTTGCAATTACTGTTAAAATCTAACATTTTAAGATTTCAAATGACCCATTTTTTCCCGCCCAAGTCAAGTCATTCAAGGTCATAGCACCAGGTCACGTTAAGTGACCTTACCTCAAGGAAAGTTCCTGTGCTCATCATATCTAAATACATCGACTAACCGATCGCTTTAGAACCTTCAACGATTCCAATGGGCAACAGTATATGTATTTGAAACGTTTACTTTGCAAGTTTGACATTGCTGACAGAAAGGTCGGGTCAATTTTGAGATCACTGAAGTCAATGGGAGAAAGTTGAACCGCGCTTTTTTTGGACGGAACACATAATAAACACTCTGAAAACATGTGGTGCCTGATGAGATGCAAAACTGAATGGTAAAATTGTTTTTTTTTTTGGTGGGAGCCATCTTTTTCGGTCTGAGAAGGCCCTTGCGGAGCTCTATGACATAACTATGCTCTGGTGTAGTAATTGGGTTGTGCGAGCCAGCGACAGTGATCTGCGGAAGCGTGACTGTTCCCGTGGGACGATTGCCCTGTCGGGGCGGTCCAGCCGTCTCCCCAACGGTCACCCGAAGAGGATTATGTGTCCTGGAATGGAACCGACATCAACTACAGTTTGGCTGGTGGGGTGACCTCCAGTCCAGAGAGGGAAGCATGAAGACTAGGGGCGATGCGGATTGGTTTTTCCTGAGGATAGCGAGGACGGAAGGAATCTAGCACCCTTGACCCCGGGTAACTTTTAAAGGGGGGAAAAGGGGAATTTCCCCCCTTCGAAGTTGAGAAAGGCCGCGAAGATTTCGTGTCACGCTTTGAACGAAAATTATGTGTCAGTAGGCTCCAAAACTTATGAAAACCAGCTATAAAATGTAATAAAGAACCAACTAGCAGGGCTGAGGAGTCGGAGTCGGAGTCGGAGTCGGAGTCGGTCGGAGTCGACGGTTGTGAACGGAGTCGGAGTGGGAGTCGGAGTCGATTTTAGAAACCCGAGCCGGAGTCGGAGTCGGAGTCACCGAAAATCTGTCGACTCCGCAGCCCTGCTAGGTCTGCGGAGTCGGAGTCGGGAGTTGGAGTCGGTCGGAGTCGACAATTCTGCCCGGAGTCGGAGTCGGAGTCGGAGCTGGTTTTTGAAAGCCGGAGTCGGAGTCGGAGTCGGAGTCGCCGAAAAATCCATCGACTCCGCAGCCCTGCCAACTAGGAACATGGAATGAATCACAGCATTGGCATTTCTGAGTCTGGAGTCGGAGTCTTGAAGATTTTTGGCGACTGCGACTCTGACTCTTGTTTGAACTGCACGCTCCAGCCGAGTCTGACCTCACAGACATTCTCCGAAAGGTACCCCTATTTTTTCCCGACTCGAAAATCTCATCGGATCTGCATCGATCTCAGGGGGTGCCCGGTCCGAGGTTGGGGGGGGGGGGCAAGCTGCCCCGCTTGCCCCCCCCCCCCGTGGCGACGCTAATGATCCATACCAATGACAAATATCAAATTTGAAGGGCTTTCAAAGCAGAGCCAGAAAATTAAACTTTAGCGACCTGCTCAACTTTTTGAGCGCTCAAGTAGGTACGTTTTATAACATTGCCCTACTGTGTCTGCAACTAAGATGGAGGCTGTTAACTTGCCCTTTAGACTTTCACTGAAACTTAACTTTATCAAAATTGTAGTGCATAAAAAGTATGCTAACTTTGCAATCTCTTGCTTTCATTATTTTGACATGTGCCGAAATGCAGTATCAGTGCCAACACGTCAGGTCGCGTATGTCTCGTCTCGTCCAAAGCGTCCGCACGGCCGGCCGGCCGGCCATACTCAGAAATTTCCGTTAATCTAAGGAAAGACAACGCTCGCTTCGCTCGCTCCGTAACCAGTATAACGCCTTTTGGGGCGACTAACGGAGCGAGCGAGAGGGTGGGCCTTGCACGTGCGAAATAGCGAGGGGGTACAGGTCTCGCGAGATTAAGCGGTAGGTT